AATTGTATCTGAAAAAAAAATAAACAGAAAATATATTAAAATAATTGGACTTAGTTCATTTATATATATATATATATATATATATATATATATATATATAAATAATGGGTGAGTTCCTGACAAAATGAGAAGTGACATATACTGTTTAATAAAGAGAAAAAAAAGAAAAGAACGTCTTCAGACTAATCAGTTTTTATTTATATAAGATTGCGTCCTTCAGTAAAATCATTATTAGTCTAAAGAAGTTCCTTCTGAAAACAAAGTGAATCATTAAGTTAGTATTTTATATATAGTTCTTTTTGTTTTATTCCTACTACTTCTGAAAAGCTATCAAAATGACCAAACATTAAAATTTGTTTTCAGAAGCCCCTCTTGGTCAGGCCAAGAACTTTTCAAGCCCCCCACCCCTCATATATAAGTTAATATGCCAGCAGGAAAACTGAAAGACAAACTTAAGTAAATGATACATCTCAAGAATGTGGACATTGGCAACTTTTTTTTTTTAACCAGCACTTCCCCACTGGTGAGAAATTTACTAACTGTTCTCACAAGTATAATGTTTTCTTATGGCACCGGCCAGATTTTCCCCTCAATATTTGTAAGAATTAATGAGCAACCCGCACCACTGAAACTTCAAACGGTATAATTTAGCTTTTAACTTTTCATCCATATGGATACAAAATTGCCAACCCAAATGAGCAGAATGCAATCGATCACATTAAAAACACTAGGTTTATTACTGAAGATTCAATAAAAAAAAAAAAAAAAAAAAAAAAAAAAAAAAAACAATTCTGATAAAACACTCAAAAGCAAAATCACAAGAACTCTTCAAATTGTTGACATACTTTCTAAACGTTTTCCACAAGAAAAGCTTCTTCAAGCTGTTACCTCTCAAAGTAATAGAAAATAATGAAATTGCCATATGGAATTCTTTAGTTTCTGATTTGCTTATACCATTGACTTCAGGGTCACTGGTAAAAGCTAGACTTTCTAAATTTCAAAGCAGGCATGCTGATCTTATTTGGAAGGTATGACCTGGTTCACATCCCACACACCAAGTTTTTGCTAAATAAAGCAAAGATTGTCTATAATAAATTTATGAATTTAAGCATCTCCCAATGCTGGTTGTTCTATTCACCTTTTCAAATAAGAAGTGATAATAGCTTCTTAACATCTGTCTATATCTCTGAGATGAGGTATTATGATTGCTTGCATTATTTACATTATTCGGACTGTTATCCTTATCTTCATTACCATATTCACGTTTTGCATAGCCCAGTGAATAAAGACGTTGGTTAAATCCAATGACTAGACCCAGAGTTGTGATTTCAATACCAAAAACTTTGTTAAAACAAAAATAATTGAGGTATCTGGAAGAGGCATGACATGTGGAACTAGAACAATCTATCTCAGTGGACGAAATAAAGGGTTCAGTTTTAAATTCCAAACATCTGAAGAAGGCCAGAGTGTACAACAGCTGAAACGTTGCAAATATGGCAATTAGGATAACAGTCTGAATAACATAAATAATGCACATAATCATAATACCTCATCTCAGCGATATAGACAGATATTGAAGACATGGCATGTGGAACTAGAACAATATACCCCGGTAGATGAAATAAAGGGTTCAGTTTGAAATTCCAATTACCTGAAGAAGGCCGGAGCATACAACGGCTGAAATGTTGTGAATTTGGCAATAATGTAAATAATGCTTAACATGTCTGAAAACTCCCCTTTCAGCCAATGAAAATTTGTCAAAATTTAACCTTTGTACTCACACACACAAAAAAAAAAAAAAAATGTGTAATACTGTATACTCCTATAACAGTCCCAGTAATGTTTATTGTTTTAAAATTCTACAAATCCTCCTATACAGTGTGCAATGGGTAAATTGTCATCATTTTATATTTTCAATTTTGTGCATGCACATTCTTTATTTCTGACTCCATAATACAGTAGGGTCCATTGGGCACCAACTGTAAGGAAAAGAGCACCATATCAAATTCACTCCACCAGAAATTTGTAAATGGCATGCTGTACTGTTTGGCATTCGCACCAGAAGCCCTAATATGAAAATTTCAAAGTGTTTACTATTTACCTCATTCAGACTATTGTCCTCATCTTTGGTTTCTTCTCTTATACTTATCGTCTGTGGAAACCTCTTCCAGTATCTTGCTTTCCAGGTAACTTTGATCTTCAAAAATTTGTTCTTTTATTGTTCTCTATTCTTAATGTTTTTCGTTTTCTTTCACTCAGTAACATGTGTCTTAGTGGCTTTATTGGCTTTAAATGATTAAAAAAATGAGATAATTTAAAAGGCAACAATAAAATGGAGTAAAACTAATGAGAATAATAATAATGTTGAAGAGTTTATTAATCCAGAGTGTTGGGATCGAAAGCAATTTCATGCTTGATTGAAACAAGTAAGAAAAATAAGAATGTTGTTATGTAATATCCCCCCTCCTCTATGGCAGTGAATGCTGGACAATTTTTCTTTCCAGAAATTATGATAAGTGGTCCATTGCAAAATATACCTCTGTGTGTGTGTGTGTGCATTTAAACTTTAAAAAATTTATTAATTTTAACTCGAACATGGGATCTAATTTTATGTTAATATAACTTTGATTTCAGCTGTTGGCATAACATTAAAAGAGGTTTTTAATAATTTAGGAATTAATCCCTTGGTCTGAAATAGGGTCTAGAGGTTTATTCAGCTACATTCCTAGAGATGGTGTCTCACTAAATACACTCAGTCCCCTATGCTCTGGTCAGGCTATAAGGAGTAGTTATGTTTGCTTACCACCCAGACAGTACTCCTTCCATATTGATTGCATAAGAGTAGGGAGTTATCTCTTGTTTCCTGTTTAGAATATGGTTTATCGATTCCTTTCTTCCATGGGTTTAATGATTTTACTGTCTTAATCATTTCACCCCAAGCAAGGCAATAAAACCACTAAGAAACATATTACTGAGTGTGAAAGAAAAAGAAACAGATTAAGGAGAGAGAACAAGAATTAAGAAGACAGAAGATAATGATTGACATTGCATTTAAATTTTTGAAGATCAAAGATGACTGGAAAGCAAGAAACTGGAAGAGTTTTACAACCTAGAAGTGTAAGAGAAGAAACTGTTAGCATAGAACCTGCGGTTACATCTATGATGGCGTTAAGCTAATATGAAAATATTAATCCAGAGTGTTATGGGCAAAAGCAATTTTATGCTTGATTGAGAAAAGTAATAAAAGAATGCTGTTGTGCAATATCCTCCCTCCTGTATGGCAGTGAATGCTGGACGATTTCCTCAAAGATGAAGAGACTTGAAGCAATATGTTCCTACAGAAGGATGCTGAGAATACCATGGACTGAACATGTGAACAATGACAAGGTTTTGGAGAAAATGGAAACAAAAAGGAAACATCAGGAAGGGACAGTTGAAGTTTCTGAGCTGTGGTAATAAGGAAGGAAGGCTTGGAAATTCTCACAAGACAGAGGGAGAGAGGAATAGAGAAAAAATATTGCATAACATATTTGATGAACTTAAGTAAATGGATGGTGAAACAGGGTTTAGGAGAAAATGTAAAGACAGAATTTATTAAGAGCAACAAATGACAGGAAACTGTGGAGAGCTACGATCAATTACATCCTGAAAGGACATGACACAAAGAAGAATGATTCATCTACTTAAAAAGTAAAAAATCCAGCATGGCAATCAAAGATATTTTTTTTGTTTTTTTTTTATAAATCTTTCATGTCATTACTTAAAATGTATAGAGATTAGTCACTGTGTACATTCCAAAATTATGACAAAGAGGAAAGTAAAGTTCAACTAACAAGTTTAAAAGACTCGCCCAATGTCCATGCTGTAGTAGTAAGCACTAACTTACAATTCTACCATGTTAGAATATAGTGGGTTAGGAATGGATATATAAATACATTTTAAATAAAATTTCTATCATTGAATCTGTGGATCTTCTTTATATATTTTTTTTGTTTTTAAATGTATATAAAATACCATTTACTTTAGCCATAAAGTTATAAATCTGGAAAGAATTAAAATTCCTCATATGTTTTTATTTTTTGTGTATATAAGATATAAAATATAGTTTCATGGTATGCTATATTTATGGGGAAAATGCTCCATATCCAGGATAGTGTGTGTAAATATAAGAGTCAACACTGAGTGATGACAATGTTTCATACTTCAATCACAAACTTGAGGCCATATCTGACACTCTTTCTCTCTCATATAAAAGAGGCTGTTTGACCAACCCAAGAACTGACCAACATTAATGATAAAAAAACAAAAAAACAAATGAAAACTACAGATATAATTCATTTTCTTCAGAAAGTCATTCATTCCTGTAGTTCACTGCTAAATTTTTTTTCCTCCTAACAATGACCATGGTGACTGAAACTAGTTGAGGAATCCAATAAAACCCCCAAAAATATTAATATACAACCCAGTGTGTCTGAAAATTTTAATTTTTTAATTCTTCAATGTTTTTATGCTTCAAAACACACTATATGTAATTTTGCATGTGTGCAAGAAAGTTATGTGGTGGTGGTGAAAGGAACAATTGAATTTGATTAAGTTAAAATTAAGCAAGAAAGGACGCATATCTTCCTTGCTCAAGTTTTTCTGTGTATCTCTTTTGTGTATGTAATATATAAAATATAGTTTTATGGTATGCTATATTTGTGGGTAAAAGTGCTACATATTCCAGATAGTGTTTAAATATAAGAATAGACATAGAGGCCAACACTGAGTAATGACAATCTGTTTCATCCTGGATTTTTTTTTTTTTTTATTAGATAATAATGGTTTTTGTAATATAAGTCCTACTAATAAATCCATAGCTGAGGGGAGGAGAGAGATTCATATTTTTTCACAAGGGTATTTGAGCATAAATGAATATGACCAATCCAACTGGAATTAGATCTCGGTTCTCCAATTAACAATTCCGAATCATTATCCACTACACCACCTGTACATCCAAG